TTGGTATGACTGAGGTGGTCGTATGTCCGGGTGGTCGTAAGTCGAGTAGGTCGTAAGTTGGGGAGTAGCTACATAGAAATTCTAAAATGAAATATGGCATAGTAAAAGTAATCAATACTGTAATGAAAAATGAATAAAGTGTTACTGTGCACTTACCTTTAATGTAGTCAGCTGAATGCACACGGGGCCTCAATAATTTTTTAATTAAACATGGAGACTACATTAATTTGATGAAGCAGAGGAGGAGACAGAGCTGGGTTGGTCATCAATTTCGCTTTCTTCAGATAGGTTAACATACTTGCTTGTTGAAGGTATTGGATCATCTTTAGGGAGTGAAGAGGCAGCAGTGGTGGGGCGTGAGGAGACAGCAGTGGGGGACTTCTTAAAATATATGTCCAATTTAGACTGAAAAGTTTCCAAAACGCTCAACATTTTGATCCATTTCTTCAAACATTTGCATTCCCTTATTAATAGTAGCAAATGCCTCTGCCATTAGTTTCACTGAAAACTTTTTGGGGGGTGCAGCTTCTTCTTCTACATTTTGTCTCTCTTCTTCCTCTACAATTTTCTGTGCATCCAGTTCAATAAGATCCTCGTTACTTAGCTCTTCTGCTACACTTTCAACCAACTGCTCAACATCTTCATTATCAATTTCTAACTCCAGCTGTTTACCCAACTCCACTATCTTGTTACTAATCTCAGAAATTGCCTCATCTTCATTAAATCCTTTGAAACTATTCACATATCTTTTCAGGACCTTCTTCCATATTCCATTCATGCACTGACCTGTGACCTCATCCCATGCTGCAGCTATGTTCTTTGTACATTACAAAATGTTATAGTTCTTCCAAAACTCTCTGAGCATTTTCTCACCTTCAGTAGCAGCAACAGCCTGAGCGAAGGTCATACGTAAATAATACGCTTTAAAAGCAGCAATAGCACCTTGATCCATGGGTTGGATGATAGAGGTAGTGTTAGGTGGAATGTAGACTACCTTAACATCAGGGTGCAGGTCGTCCAGGTGTGGTGGGTGTCCCGGAGCATTATCTAAAATTAATAAAATCTTGAACGCATCCCCTTGTTGCAGAATGAAACAACTCGGGAACCAATCCTCAAACAGTCATCCATGCTTTCTTATTACAGTACTGAGATAAAACACTGGCAGTGTGAGCTTGCTGACATTTTTAAAAGCCCTTGGGTTCTCTGAATGATATATCTGAATGATATATCATGAAGGGTTTTACCTTGAAACCAGCTACATATCCCCCCCCCCCCAACAGAAGTGTGATTCGGTCCTCGAATCCCGGCATGGTTTTCGTCTCTTTGTGGATGTATGTCCGTTCTGGCATGCGCTTCCAGAATAAGCCAGTTTCATCAACAATAAATATTTGCTCAGCCAAATAATTTCCCTCCACGATGACACGATCTAGCTCCTCCTTAAAAGCTTCTGCAGCACCCACATCAGCACTTGCTGCCTCTCCACTCGCCTTTACACTATGCAAACTGTAACGGTTCTTAAACCTTTGGAATCACCCATGACTTACTGTGAAGCTTTGGTCGCACTCATCTCCTGCCTGCTCCTTCAGGCTTTCGAAAAGGCTTCTTGCCTTAGCCTGTATGGTTAGAAGGCTTAAGGGTACACACTTTTGCAACTGATCTTCCATCCACATGACAAGTAATTTTTCCATCTCATGAAGAGGACCTTGTCTTTTTTTCGTTATTATTGTTCCCTTTATAGGTGCTGATCCTTTCACTACCTCACAAATTTGTTCCTTGGGCTTCAGAATTGTTGATATCGTCGAGTGAGAGAAGCCTAGGTCGCATGAAATGGTTGCTACCGTTTTTCCATTTTCATATTGCATTATTATTTTCATTTTCATCTCTAAAGTAATTGACGGTCTCTTTTTCTTCTCAGCACCACGCGAACTCTCACTTTTACGCTTGCCAGTCATTTTAAAGGGAATTAGAAACAAAAATTTTGTCAGTACACAGTGCGATCACTAATGACAACAACGACGCCAAAACACCAACTGAGCGGGCTATGGCATGGATGCTGTACACCACGAGGCAGCCCAGCCTACCCTGTCGTTCGGTATTAGAAAATACGTAATTTGAAAAATATTTTATACGACCACGGCGGTCGTATGTCCGGGTTGTCGTAAGTCGAGGAGCACCTGTAGTTTGAACATTCGGGATAAGTCTTTCAGGTGCCTACCCACACCCAAGGACTTATCCCGAACTTTCCAACAATATTTTCGGACTGCCAAATGGTAACCCGACAAAATTTGGTTTAAAAAAATGGATTACAGCTTGTTAGGCACTTTCGAGTTACTAATAAGTAACCCGAGTGTTTAAAAAAATGGCCGTATGTCTCCCCCATTAGATTTTAACCTCTTTGTCTTAGTTGCCTCAGCTTCATCTTGAACTTCAAGATGCCATAAGATTCCTCACCATGAATCTTTGCCTGTTTTAGATCCTCTGCTACATCAGATGTTTCATTGAAAGGATTCACAAATTCACCCAAAACATCCACAACTGCAGAGACAGTTCTCCCATCTTTCAGTATTCTTGGTTTGTGTAGGCCTGCATGCTGCATGTCTTGCTTGTTGGAAGTTGAAATACATCACATAGCATCATGAAATCTGTACTTCTGAATTTTGCTGTGACATAGTGATGACTGTTTTGTGAAAATCAATTGCCTAATTGATTTCAATTCAACTCAGTGTACCTGATGTAAATTAGCTTCAAAATATATTATGACACCCCAGAAATTCCTATTGGATAAATCATTACACAGTAGTCCATAAATAATCTAACATATGGTGACATTTTAATAACATTTAGATTTTTTTTTTTTTTTTTGACAACATATGTAAATTAATGATGTGTACACTACATCATTGATTTTTGGTAAATTTTCTTCATGATAACTTCCAAGTTGTACTTGCAACCATTTGCTACTCTTTGAGACTGCTATCATGCAAATTTTTAATGCCTATGGGTAGACCTTTCAAATGATACCAATGAATTTTTGCCACCTTGACTGGTAGAGATTAGGATTGGACAGTTCAGCAATTTTTGGTTCCATTTCAAACACCCCTCCCTTCCCACACCATAAAAAAAATCTTGGGTTCATATCAGTTCATATATATTTTGAAATGTTTCTGGATAATTAAATTCATGCTTTTATATTATAATTTATTTCAACAGGAAATTAGGGGTTAATATATCCCAAAATGATTTTTTTCCTCATAAAAGTAAACTAATGTGCTAAATACAGTATACAGTACTAAGTTAACTTTTAAGCCATATGTTACAAGAGGTTTATTACATCTGTTTGAGGAAAAGTCCCCCTGTTGTGCATACAGGTAAATCTCGAGATACGACATCCCGATCATCGATATTCTGCTTTAATGATGGTCATAAATTAAGACCATCTCACTATATACGCTCAAAATAACTCACTTTAACGATATCCATTGGTTGGATTTTTTTTTATCTCTAGTGCAAACTATGACTTGTATACTGTATGTAGTAAGTCCTCGTATAACGTCGTCCTGCTTAAGAGTTGTTTCGGTTCTTCGTCGCTAAACTTTAGAGACCAAAAAAATTCGTTTAACGTCCCGGTGATTAGATACTACGTTGTTTTGCATTGTCATGGACTACTTTCTACGGTGCATCAGCGCTCTTGTCTGGCCACGCTACGCTCTCTCGGCTCGGCGCGTTGCCCTCACTCGCGAAACATCACAGCGTCCCCAAGCCAGCCTTTGTTACAACTTCATATCATTCATGTGTGCTTACTTTTGCTCTAAAACTGTACTCTAACCATTTAAAATGGCTTCCAAGCACCCATAAAATATTACCGATGCTAGTGTAGTGAAAAGGCAATGTAAGACCATTACCCTGGCTATGAAAATGGATGTATTAGCCCATTTTGAAAAAGGGGAACGTGCTGTGGACATAGCCGCTGTGCTTGGTCTAACCCCCACAACGGTGTGTACTATCCGGACCAACACTGAAGAGATTAAGGTTAATGCTGGAAGTGGTTCTTCTCTGAGTGGAACTAAGACAACTCATACCAGAAGCACTGTGACAGAAAAGGTGGAAAAGATGCTGGCAATGTGGATGGAGGACCAGATACAATGCAATGCCCCTGTCAGCCTTATGGTTATCCAGCATAAGGCCAGATCCTTGTTTGACGACATGAAGGAAACAGGGTGAAGGATCAAAGGAAAAGACCTTTACGGCCAACCGAGAATGGTTTCAACGATTTAAGTACCGTTATAACTTCCACAATATTAAAATGACTGGTGAAGCTGCCAGTTCAGATACAGCTGTTGCCGAGACATTCCTGCCAGAATTCAAACGGATTATCCAGGAAAGAGGCTACTCATCGAAGCAGGTCTTCAATGTGGATGAGACTGGTCTCTTTTGGAAGAGGATGCCCGAGAGGACCTATATCTCCAAGGAGGAGAAAATAGCGCCAGGTTTTAAAGCAGCAAAAGACTACTTGACGCTGCTGCTCGGCGCAAACGCTGCCGGCGACTTCAGGCTGAAGCCTATGCTGATTTCTCGCGCTAACCCACGGACCCTGAAAGGTTACTCTAAGGATCACCTTCCTGTCATTTACAAGGCAATGAAGGGATACTGTGCCAGGGAGAACCTTGACTTCAAAATTCTTCTGATCCTTGACAATGCGCCAGCTCATCCTCCCAAACTCGACGATTTGCTTGACAGTGTAAAAGTTGTATTCCTGCCTCCCAACACGACAGCACTGATGCAGCCTATGGACCAAGGCGTCATCGCCGCATTCAAGGTTCAGTATTTACGCCCAGCTGCTCAAGGCTACAGACGGAGATAATAAACCTACGATCCGAGAATATTGGCGTGGCTTCAACATTCTTCATGCAATTGACAACATTGGCAGGTTTCAGAAAGTTGCCTGAATGGTGTGTGGGGTAAATTGTGGCCCAGGTTCTTCAACAGTTTTACGGGATTCACGGACTTAGTCCCAGCAGTGAATAGGGATATCCTCAGTTTGGCTAGACTGAAAGGCTCTGGTGAGCTGGAATCAGAGGATATTGAGGACATCCTGGTATCCCATACAGAAGAGCTCATCAATGAGTATTTGCAACAACTAACAGAATACAGTCCCGTTGAAGACGAAGAACCTCAATGGACGCTAACTACGAAGAGGATGGCAGAAGCGTTCAACATGATCCAGCAAGGTATGCACATCCTTGTAGATTACGACCCAAACAGAGAACGTAGCTCAAAGATTCAACGCAGCATTGATGAAAGTCTTGGTTGTTACACTGAGATCTATAAGGGGAAGAAGAGTAGCACCAAGCAGTTAACACTGGATTCATTTTTTTGTTGCGGGATGAGAGAAGCAGCAGCAGCAGCATCTTCACAACAGCTGGCAGCCAAGGAGGAGCACACAGCAACCGAGGAGGAGCAAGCAACAACGGAAGAGGAACAAACATCAACGGAGGAGGAGCAAGCAGCAGCGGAGGAACCCCAGTCAGCACAGAAGAAGGAGGAGGCAGCCGCAGAGTCTCAGTGACTCACCACCCTCCTCCGCTCCTGCCATCTGCCTCCTCAGCTTCACTACCCACCACACACTCGCTCTACCACCTCCGCCCATCGGTGAGTACCCATACAAACTTGGTAGTTGTATATGCATGCACTATTTTCTATAGAAATGGCAATACTTTTCTGTATATGTAATGTATTTCATGGGGCAAAGGGAGGCTCAGGAAGGTAACTCCCGTATTTTATCTATTTCTTATGGGGAAAATTAATCCGCTCAACAATGTTTCGTATAACGTTGCATTTTCAGGAACGTAACCCCGACATTAAGCGAGGACTTACTACTCAAAATAATCGCAGTCTTGCAAGGATTCCAGGATTGGAAATTATACTTTTATACGTCAAATCAGTGAAATTTTGTAAGGAAACAGTATTTAGCCATATGTACAACGCATCTCAACCTTCACTTGTAAGCCTACCCACACGCCGCCACATAGCCAACCCGTGCACTACAGCCGTGTTTGGTTATTTGTCGATCGTAAACCTGCCATCGCATGGCTCCATGATTATCGGCCAGCATTGCACTTGGCATCAGTGTTTTTCCTTTTTCTTATATAGTGAGAAGACAGCACTAATATTTAGATTGAACCGTGTTATGGTGACTGTGAAGTGATATTTCTGTGTCTTTGTGACTGTAAAGTGCATCGACTTTTGTTTTGAAAATGTGAGCAGCGTTGGCCTCTATCATTTTTTTGTCATCATCATTCACTCTGTTTTTATGACTGAAGTGAGCAGTGTAACTTTGAAATTGTCTGGGAAGGCCAAGACAACCGTGTCTGTGAGATGAAGCATTACATTGTTAAGCGGCATGAGACTCCCCAGAGGCTGTGTGGGAGTCAAGAGTGATGTCTCCACTCCACCTGCAAGAGTCCCCTTAGCCTTGAAGGGGGCATATGATGATGACCAGGCTTATTCTTCACGATGAGGTGAACATTGTTTAATTGTTTTGTACTGACAGTAGTATTGTAGGAATTGTTTTGTTGGTGAAACGTGTGTTTGGGGACTTACTGGGAACGTATCCCATTGAACCCCAGGTTATAATGCTTCCTATCTATGATAATTCACCTAGCGATGTTTTTTTCCGGAACCTAATCCCATCGTATCTCGAGGTTTAACTGTAACTGTTCACTTTGAGAGTTCCAAATTGTCTCAAAACTACTTTAACAGCATTGTGGAAAAATCAAGGGGGGGGGGGGGATGGTACACCAAAACATGTTCTCCTGATCACTAATGGACAAATTATGTAATATTCTGTTCCCCTGTGCACACTTATTGCCTAGTCACCTCAGGCAATTAAGCTATCTGCTGCTATTTGAATACAAGTGTCAAATACAAGCAATAGCTGTGCAGTCCTAATGAATAGATAAATATCTAAATACCTACCACTTGACTGTCATCTCACATGATCTGAGGTTAACCCTCCCAGCATTAATGGAAATTTGTTCTAAACAAAATTTCACTAAGAAAATAAAGACCTGTATTTCCATCCAGGGTTATGTCCCAGGCTCTCATCACTGTAAATTTGTATGTTTGGAGAAAAATTTAACCTACTGACACATAACCAGGTACAGATGCTCCCCGGTTTACAGAAAGGTTCCGTTCCTGGACCCCATCTGTAAGCCGTAAATGACCCTTCCATAAAGTAAATATGTACTGTACCCTGTACTGAATCACAGACGGTGTCACACGAGGGGATACGCTCAGCCACCTTACACATAATCCTCCACAAATAGTGTTGTTATGCCGTACTAGTTACCTTCCATACTAACAGAAACTCTGCGTAACACGAAAGTTTTTTAATGGGACTTGTGGGAAGCATTCTGAAAACCAAGTGTTCAGTAACCCGGGGAGTACCTACTGACTGTTATAGAGAGGAGTTCTATTGGTCAATCTATTCTGAATCCTCTTCTTTATCAGAAGCATTGCTAGACTCCTCCTCCTCCTCTTCCTCTTCTTCTGATTCCTGGGATGAAGAGTAAAATGGTACATGGTTAATTTCCACAATAAAAATTAATTCTAAAAATAAGCCTACAATGTTTTGAAAAAATATATCCATTCAGCAGGCAGATCATGGAATCTTGCAATTTCAATAACTTATGTTGCAGCCATGATACTGATTGCTATGTTATGAACTACAGGAGCAATTTCATATATGTGATGCATTTGTAGATGAACAAGATATCCTAAATTACTCTCTCTAGACACAGTAAAACATTGTCTTATTAAAAAATGCCAAGGTTAACTACATACTATACAATCCACCAAAGCTTCCTGGTATCTACTAGAGATAATAATTTACAATGAAGACATTTCTTTACTTTCTCCTAAAAACAAATACTTTGCAACATAGGTAGGTTAACTTTGAAAGATAAAGACGATATCATAAACTTACTTCCTTTTCATTCTTCGTTTCCTTCTTTGCCTTCTTCTTGAGTGGTTTATCATCATCACTTGAGTCATCTTCAATGAATTCCTTGGATTTAAAACCTGCACCTGAACCACCTGCTTTGGTTGGTGTAACTGACACTGGTACCTTCTTTTGAGATGGAGATTTCTTAGGTGTTCCAGAGGAGGATCCTCCAACAGATATTTTGTATGCTTTCATCGCTTCTTCATACTCTTGTTTTGCCTCGGCTGCTTTCTTTTCCCATTCCTATTGAGTGAAAAGGTGTTTTATTTTCTTATCAATATTGTCAATAGTATTAAATTTTCTACTGGTCAATCTATCTTTTTCCAAAAGATCTCATCCTTGAGGATACACTTTTATCCACTCATTTTATATAGACTTCTTCAGCCACACATTTTCTTAGATCTTTATTCTTTACTAACTAATAATTATACTGGTTCTTGTAATATATACTGACTTTACGAAGAAGGTACTGTACTGTTAAGAACAATGCCTGTTAACCCTTTCTAATTGTGCATTATGTCCAAGGTAGATTTCAACCCCATGTGCATTTATTTGGACAAATTCTTCAAGAAATAAGTCATTATATGTAAAAAAAATTCTTGGTACCTTTTAGATAAACATGCCTGGAAACAAAAATAAATAAATAAAAAATTACAGTAGTACCCCGATTTACGCAGTCAATGCAATGGGTCACGGGGTACCGCAGAAAGTGAAAACCGCATAAAGTGAACAACAGAACTTATGGGATTAATTCCAATAGAGACTGGCCCGACCCCCAAACTCCACTTTTTCCGACATAATACCTATGTTGTAGTAAAAATAACATCTTAATTTTATGATGGTATGCACACACAATTAATATTTAAGAGAAATACAGTCACCAGGTTAATGTCCATTCAAATAATGGACTCAAATCCCCCCCCCCCCTCTTCCCAGCTCACTAGCTCCTACCCCTCTGAGAAATGTTTGGGCGAAAACACTAGATTTTAACGTTTAGTAATAAATAATACCTCAGACTAAAGTTAGGATATAATTGACATTTCTGGATTCCTTGCAGGTCAGGGAATATTTTGAATGTAAACTTCATATATTTTGCACAAAAGATAAAATATTTGCTTTGTGTAAACCAAATTATTACATTAGATCTAAAATTTGTATGTCTAATGCAAAATCCATGATGTTTATATTCAAAATGATCATCATATTGTAAGAATTCCAGCAATGAAAATTATATTCTGGCCGAGTAATTTGTATGAATTTTATGAGCTAAAACAAATATCTTCGGTTAATAAAAAAAAAAAAAAATATTCTTCATGACACTATCTGTCATTCAAAGTACCCCACCTTGCCTCCCCCCCCTCCTCACACTCACGCCAGCTGGGTCGGTCGGTCCCAACCCTCCCCCCCCACCCCGCACCTTCCCTCCCTACCTCGGCTACAATTCTGCCAGCAATATTAACAGATGCAAATGTGAAAAGAAAGTTATCTATAAATCTTCATTTGTATCAAGTATTTGTAGATTTAAATATAAATGTTGCAGGCACAGCATGCCCTTAAAATTCACAGATTTTTTTATTTGTGGCCTTTGATTATTTGCGGATGACACCCAGGATGTACCCAAGAATGTTTGCAGGTGCTCTTAAAGTCTGCGGCATGTTCGCAGCCCTCAGCTCCGACCTCCCTCCGCTCTCCCCTGCTTACTCGTTCGAGGCAGATGGGGAGCACTTGTAACTCTATGTCATTAATAGATAGTAATGCTTGTAAGAATTCAGAAATGGTTACTGCTTACCGCTACCTCTGAAGAATTGGGTGTCTGCCATATGGATCTTAATCAACTTGGGTTATCCTCATCAGTACTATATTGTAATTATAAATCCAGATTTTATATTTACAATAATTATTATTTTTTAATTAATGAAAAATACTAATAATGTGTTTAAGTAAGCAAAAACATATTTTTAATTCTAGAGTTGGGTTAGATAGAATTTAGCCTCCTGGAGGCGGCAACTTGGGAATTCATTAGCCTACGGGAGACCAAAACTTTACATATAAAACACAGGCTGATATTTTAGCTGTTTTTCAGACATATAAGTGCATCTTATATGCCATAAAATACGGTACATTTCTTGCACATTCCACAATAAAATTTTTCCCATTATCAAAGTTAACCTGACATTACCAATGTACCTCAGAGTATTACCCTGTACTACACTCAATCTCTGCTTTCCCATTACCACCCATTTCAAAAGAACTTAAACATCCAAGTTCATTTGCAATTTTCACAATCTAAACTAACTTTAAAGAGCAAATGCCTTTCTTTCAAGGACTAACACATGCTCTTACTTGCATTCACTTTCAACATCCTCATACATACTTTACCTTTATAATTTGCTCATTACTAGATTCAGCCATAATTATGCCTCAACTGCATATTAAAATTGACAGCTTCTATTCCGGGCAACCATAATTCTATCTTACTGCAGAGTAACCTATTCCAAGTTTTATGAAAGTGCATTGAACAACCATGAAGTCTTTACATATACCTGGCAAACCATTCCATAGCCACACCATTTGCTCTCATATAAGCAATCCTTCCCTGTGCAAACTTAAATAATACACATCATTTGATAACCAAACTTTTTACATCCACTTCAGTTTACTCTACAGTATCATGCTTTTTAACTCCGAAGTGCACCACACAAAATTATCACCCGTCTCAAATCTTTCTGAACAAACGGCAAAAGCCTTTGAAACAATTTTTCCCCAAATCATTTCTCTTCAACACTATATAAGGTTTGTTTCTGGTAGCTTTACTGATTGATCAAATGCATAATAGAGAACCTGATACATTCAAACTGCTTTAGAACAGATTTTTACTACATATGAGAGAATGTGACTCATTGGTGACTAAATTTATGACTATAATCTCTTTTTTATTTATTTTTTGCATATTACTCTTTGAATCATGTGCATGAAAATATAATGAAATTTTTGTGAGAAACCATGTACAGTACATACATGTATGTACAACCTTATTCATGTGTAAAGATTTACTATGTTTCCATTGTAATAATTAGTAAAAAAAAATTTAATACTCGTTAAATGAAGGATTTAGGTAAAAACATAATTTGAAAGGGAAAGGGTGAGAACAATGAGGACTTACAGTTTTGTCTTCAAGGGCTCTCCACTTTTGCCCTGCCACCTTTGAAATTTCTGTAATTGAAATGCCTGGGTTCTCCTTCTTTATCTGTTCTCTGTGTTCATTCAGCCAAAGGAAGTATGCTGACTGGGCTCTCTTGGGTTTATTTTCATCCCTTTCCTTCTTCTGGCGGCGTTTACGAGGTTTCTCAGACACGGTTTTGGATTTTTGTTTCTGGGTATAAATAAAATTCTTTACTTCACAGTTCTATAACAAAGTAATCTTATCTCTTTTCAACACAAGAAAAATCAAATTTCCTTACCTTTCCTCAAAATTCAAAGCAAAAAGATGAAAAGGATATTTCAATCACAATGACTTCTATTAAAGCTTAACTCATTCAAGTGAGTCATAACTATCAGAACACAATCATTTTTGTAGCAGTTAGGTCTTGTGTTTCCTGCCTTTAGATTTTCAAACTGTATGATTGATTGTTATATTCTTATGAATGTTTTCTCAGCTTTTAGACTATTTTGTGGTTAGTTGAGGTGTATGTCCCAAATACAGTCTTAGTTTTTTGTGTATTAAAATTGTGTTTAAACAGGTCTAAATTTAGGGTGCATTAATCATTGTACAGTAAATTGCACATCTCAATTGGTTATTATAATTTTACAAAGATAATATCAAACATTTAGGGAAATAAATACTGAGGACTTAAGACAGCGACAAAAATACCAGGCCAGTCAGTTTTCTAGAAATCTGAATTAATGAGTGAACAATAGAGCATAAAGTGAACAGAATTTGAGGTAGCAGAAGATGCTTATACCTGACGTAGAGAAGATGAGCAGTAAATTGAGGTTCAGTGCCTGGTAAAAATAATCTGTTGTTTAGTTGTGTAAGTTATTGTTAATAGAGTAGAAACTTACCCTTTCCCTCTTCTCTTTCTTTTTCTTCTCTCCTCCTTCAACTAAACCACCTTCCGAATCACCAGAATCAGAACTGTCACCAGCATAACTATCGTATCTGTAAAAGAAAACAGTATGTATATGAAGCTGGGCAAGTGCAAAAATTTCTGAGCTGCAATACAAAGTATTATCTCAACACCAAAGTGCATTAAAAAATGCAAGGAGAGAAACTGAATTAAAGGACACAAAGATGGGAAGGTACAAGGACTCTGAGTTTGGTTGTGATGCACAATTCTTGATGTAAATGGAATAAAAAAATAAAAAAAATGAAACACAAGAAATGACATATTTGAGGAAGAAATGCAGATGTAAAAGAAATGTCTACCAGAGAATGAATGAGGGTTTGCTCAAGTGATATGAACATATTGAAATACTGTGAAGTAAAAGATAAGTAAAAAATAGTGTATACTACCTGGGTAATTCAGAGATAAATGATAAGAGGGCTTAGGGAAGAATGACAGGAGAGCAAGGAGCCAAGTAATTTTTAGAGGGGCACATTACTAAAGGGTAATGCTAGGTTAAGTGAATCATCATGAGTATATCTGATATGTATTTGAAGCCCTGTTGTGGAAGGGGAATACTACGTTCCTAGAATGTGTTAAAACAAATTCAACACAACTCACAAGTGTGAATTTTATATATTTTTTTCATTCATAACAAATGTACAATGCGAATTAATTCTTTTTAGTAACAAAACTTACTCTTCGGCCACATCACTGCCTTCCTCCCCAGGTGCAAAATCTTCATCTTCACTCGAGTCTTCTTCATCATCATCTTGATCACGCTCCTTAGCTTCCTCACGTACTCGTCTCATGTATGGATCAGGTTCATCAGCATCACTATTATCAAAGTCATCCTTTCTACTTCCCATTTCCTGAAAGAAGAAAAATACTGCATTTTTGGAAATGCCTGATATAATATATTATTTCCCTGGAGGGAAAATATTAATTGAAAGGAACAGAAATATTATTATGCTTAATGCTGCACTATTGGTTCATCTTTTTTTTAACGGTAGATAGATACAACTTGCATTTTAAGATAATACCAAGAAAAAAATTACTGAAGCAAATGGAGAAAGGAGTAAGTGATAGAGAGAAGAAGGAACATTACAATCAATAATCCAGAAAAGAATATTAATTATTTTCATCAGAAGCATTAAATTAATTCTGAGGTAGTTACTCCTCTCCCATTCCCTGGCCAAATGCCCATGTCCATGGGTCCATTTGGGGGGGAGGGGGGGGGGGGAAGGAATTGGTTTCTAACCCCATGAATCACACAGTTTTAAAGAGAAAGGTTAATTGAAAATTAAGTTAATGTAATCAACTGATTTAGGGAAATCTTAGTTAAATTTAATTAACCTGTATTTTAAAATAAAATGAGTCATTTATTAGCTTCATTGTTTACTTGATAAAAAGTTAATTAACTTAATCAACCAAAGCTTGGTGTCATCCTTGTTATCGTGTCACCAACAACATGTGTATCTCACCTTGCTTGCTTCTCAGAAATAATTACATGTGTAGTACCATGCCATAAAAATTCTCTCTTCTCTGAAGTCATGATGTGGGAAACAAGTTAAAAAGTAGGATTGTCACATTTCAGTTCACATTTACACAACCATGAACTAAAACACTCACCATTTTTCCTCTGTTCTTGATTCTTAGTTTCTTCTGATTTACATAATCAAAGAGGCGATTGTACTCGCCCTTCTCAATACTGCTAAAAGTATTGACAAGTCCATTTTTAACCTCCACCTATGTAAAGAGAAAATATATACAGTACACATATGAGAATTAATTTTTACTTATTTATTTATTTTTTCATCTCAGGCTAGGGGAACAAAAATGCACAGAGCTTAAGATTTGGTTAAATACACTTTAATTAAATCACTTAATTTCTCACCTCAAAATCAAAAGATCTTGTTGTGGAACCAGATCTAGCAAAGTTCACAGAGGATATTTCATCAAATCTGATATGGACAGGTGGCTTGTGAACATATATGATGCCTCGCTCCAGTGGATATAGATAGCCAGCTGCTGCCTTATATGAGCAGCTAATAGCAGGGGTTCCTGAGTGTCTTTGGGAAGAAAGGATCGTGTCATTAGTTAGCTTACCATTAAAGTCTTGTAGTCAATACAAAAACTGCTTTAATCTAGTATTATACACAACATAACTGTATTGATTTAAACACCTTGTATGACATAACCAGCCCTCTATAGAAATACTGATTACTGTAGCTGCAATACACTTCTGCACTGTCACTCATCAAAGTACAGTAATCAATTTGTCTATTTCTGTCCATCTATTGGCTTTTATACTCAAAGTAAAAGAGTGAGCTCCTTGCTTTGCCCACCTTGACATCACTCTCTAACTTCTGACAATTTAGTAAACAAACTACAGTGAAATAAACATTTTATGGACTATTTGGAGAGGAAACTTCATTATATCAAGGGCCCATTAGATGTGAAACCTCCATCTAATGAACTGTATAGAGATGAAAGTTCATTATATTGTGGATCCTTTAGATGTGAATCCCCATCTAATGGATTAAATGGAGAGAAAAGTCTGTCATATGGAGGTTTCACTGCATATAAAACATTCTTTCCAGTCAAATCTAAATTTCAAACTGAAATTTAGCAACAAAAGACAACTACATTCACCTAAAAATACATTCTTCATGTTTTCAATTCAGAAATGTTAAATTTATGATAAGCACAGTGAGATTATCAAAGTCAAGCTAAATATGAGTGTGTAAAGCAATGTATTTCTGTCAAAGGATCCTTCAGTTTGGTCTAAAAGGAAACTACTGTACTGTATATTGAATTCCCTCATTATCCATCAAATTTTTAGTCTAAGCACCAACTCTTTATCAGATCCCTTGTACTCATCAAATCTTTGGTCTAAATTGTAATGCTTCATAAGATTTCTTCATTCTTTAACAAACTTTAAATCTGCACTCGAGTGGTACTCCAGTGGATTGCTCTCTAACAAGTATATATTTTATTACAGTATGATGCCATATCCAAATATTCTTTTCACATTACAGTACTGAACTCTTGATACTTACCCCATAAAATTACCGGGAGTGACAATCTTGCGGTTACAAATTCCTTTAAACATTTTACTTATAAGTTCAAACTGAGGTCCACTCATTTCTTTGTCTAAGCGGCCTTCATATTTTTCATGAAGCTCCTCTCTGTATAAAAAATAAAATAATCAGTACTGCATATGAAGGTATAAAAATGAAATATGAGATACCAGGCACTACATTTCAGACAGCCTTTGCCAATTTTCAAGTGAAACTGGCACCGTTATGAGTTCCATACTAGCCTTAATGCTTTAAAATCAAAGGACTTAGAACTTAATGTATATATGACCATACTTCATAATAATTCTTACTCTGAAAGTGGAAGTTCAAGGAGATCTGTGTCATCTCCAGAGAACAGTAAAATCAGGTACGGGTAGCGAGTTTGGCCTTGTTTGATTGGTGGATCCAAAGATACCTAGAAAAAAAATATATATATTCTAGCATTCATACCTTAAATAAGGATGAATAACAAAATATCCAAGTGATTTAAATAACAAAAACATAATCAATGATAGAAAAATCAACAAGCAAAATACTGCCAAAAGCCCTGGAGTCAAAGTATCTCCATCTATCACACACTATTTCTCTACTGTACAAACACATTTTCACCATATTTTTGCAATTAAGTGAACAAATGGTAACATATTCAATACTGACTTACCACAAAGAAGTGTTGTCGTTGGTCTAGGTGAGGCAGCAAGAACAGTCGCAAAACGGTTGTTACAGGGATCTTGAAATCAAATGTCTTACCATGAAGCTGAATAAAGCTTGGATATACCTTGATGTCATACCGACCACTGCAAGAATTTCATTAAATATATAATATATACCAGTATAAACCTGAAAAGTTTTATATTACAGCAAAATATGAATACTGTGGTTGTAATCTTCTTAAGTCAAAGCAAAATTGCAAATGCACAAGCTTTAAGGTCACCATACAAATGTTATAAGCATAAAATTTATCAACCATGTCTGGCTGATGCATTTGTATATTTTTTTTTTCATTTCAACAATATAGCATGCCCTTACAATTCGAGGATTTTTAATTCACGGACTTTGATTATTCGCGGATGACACCCTGGATGTACCCAAGAATGTCAACAGCTAGTTTTAAAGTTGGCGGCATTTTCACAGCCGGGATGGGGAACCCGCGAGTTTTATGGCTGGGCCATGTGCGCTCACTCCACCTCAGTGACAGTCCGGATTAAACACTTGTCCGTTTCGTGCATGTGCTATTCTGCTCTATTAACAATTATGCTCCTTGTGCTTGTGATGGCTCCCAAACACCCTCAACCAACTTCATCCAGCCACGGGAAGGTGCCCAAACAATGTGAAGAGAGAATAGAAGGTCATGTATTTCTCCCATGCGTATACAGGGAGTTCTGCTATAACGCGTGTTTTGATAACGCGAATTTGCTCTAACGCGATTTATGAATTCGGAACAATATTTGTATAACGCGAACGCTTGTTTGCTATAACGCGATTTTTGCTTACTATTTCTCCAATTTTGTGGTATTAACTGTGAATATGGTAAAGAAGAATATCTCCAAAAGGCGCTCTGATGATAGAATTCCCGGTGATTATCGTAAAAGAAAGGATATAACACTTGAAGAAAAGCTCAATGTTATCAACCTCAAAATCACCCTTCTCCCCCATCAAGTTACATTCATATTTTTTCAAGGTAAAGTGTTAAATTTACTGTATGATTTCATTATTAGATATGAATGTAACATTTATTTAGACTGTGCTATCCTTTGTGTTAGGCTAAATACTAAATTTTTTCGATTTCGAGTAATCTGCACCTAACCCTATTTTCTCCATAAGCCCTGTTATTTCTATTACGCGATTTTCTATAACACGATATTTTACAAGAACACAATTATCGCGTCATAGCAGAACTACCTGTACCTGGTTTTGCCTGGCAACAGGAGCAGGTAAGGGGAATAAGTGACTGCTAGTTAGCGCGTCGTTTGCAGTTATAACTCTCCTCACTCCCTGGCATATTTTACTGAATTTACTGTTATTATTAGTGTTTACTGATAGAATAGTGCTTAATGGTAATTAATCATGGCATTGTGGCTAGGTTAGCTCATCATTGTAACCACCGCACTACTGGGCCAAGCTGGGAGGTGTTATGTTTTTTCAACTCGTATTTTCGGGTAGATATACGTAACTTTCTTCATTTATTTTTACTCAGTTACATGCACACACCATCCTACATACATATTGTGAAAAAAGTTAAAATAAATAATTGTCCTTAGGGAAAGCACGTAAAGGGAGGAGAGCGCAGTGTAGCTGGTGGGGGAGCGTTGCTAGGGAATTGGCGTCCCAGCTGATCTTCGTTACCATGGTGGGGCAGGGAGTGTATGCAAATGGCGACTGTGTTAAACTTTCATTTGGCTTTTATTTATTGGTTTGGCAAAAGTATTTTCTTTAACTTATTTATTGGTATTAATTTTATTTATTCCTCACATTTCCTGTTACTGTACTGTATATATTATTTTAAGAAAATCATGGTTGTGAGGTGTTATGGTTGTTTTTCAACTTGTATTTTTGGGTAGATACATGTAACTTTCATTTATATTTACTCAGTTACATGCACACACCATCCTACTTACATATTGTGAAAAAAGTTAAAATAAATAATTGTCCTTAGGGAAAGCACGTAAAGGGAGGAGAGCGCAGTGTAGCTGGTGGGGGAGCGTTGCTAGGGAATTGGCGTCCCAGCTGATCTTCGTTACCATGGTGGGGCAGGGAGTGTATGCAAATGGCGACTGTGTTAAACTTTCATTTGGCTTTTATTTATTGGTTTGGCAAAAGTATTTTCTTTAACTTATTTATTGGTATTAATTTTATTTATTCCTCACATTTCCTGTTACTGTACTGTATATATTATTTTAAGAAAATCATGGTTGTGAGGTGTTATGGTTGTTTTTCAACTTGTATTTTTGGGTAGATACATGTAACTTTCATTTATATTTACTCAGTTACATGCACACACCATCCTACTTACATATTGTAAAAAAAAATTACAGTATTACACCACAATTACTGACATCCTGCATGCTTGGTTGGCTATGAAATAAATTTTTTAAGTTTGATCTACGTACCAACTCAGCTTGCGCTCAGTTGCCATTCAGGGAAGCTTCCTGAACGTAATTACCTACTTTTGTTTGTTTCATTTTCATTGTTTATTCATTTTATCATGTTGTATCAAAGTAATACTTGCATTGCTAAAAGTAGTGTACAATAGTTGTATTGAAGTGTAGTATTACAGTACTGGAAAATAATGCTATGATTATGTTATAAATGTATTTATTTGTGGAATTATTATTATTTTATGCATTACTTGCTCTACCAAACACAAAGACAGCCAGACAGCCTGGTGACCAACTGTGTGTGTGGTGCCGAGCACTTTTTATGAAAAATAATGCAAATAAATTATTCTAAATGAATTATTTATAGCAAATAAGTATTAGGATCAGTAAATATATGCATTACTGGCCATTCCAGACACATAGGCAAGCTAAAAATAGCTGCTAAGTGCGTAAGTGACCACAAGGCTCGCCGTCATAACAAGCTGTCCCCTAATCTCCCCCCCCTTTGCACTGCCAGGGAAGTATCTAGAGGGTCAATATATAGTTTTTCTTACTTCTTGTTTATTGTTTTATAATTTAAAAAGGTTAAAAATTATTTTTGGAAAAGTTGATTTTTCTCGATTTACCCCCGGGTGGGGGATAAGGCCAACGGCACCCTAACCCGGGCCTTAAAGGTTAAGAACGTCCTCAGGAACGGAACCCATTCATAACCCGGGGACCCCCTGTACTGTATTAACAATGGCATAACTTATGAATACTCATGAGAAAGATAATGAAACAGGGAAGACTATTCTTTCCATACCGTGGAGTGAGACATTGAACTTCCCGGAAGATAGCAAGAGCATCCCCAGTAGCCGTAATAACAGACGCTTTGGCCATAACCCGCTGCTGAAAACTTTCCACTGGGTCATCACCGGCTAATTCTGAGGTTGGAATGTGAAAGCGCATCTCCATCAAGTTTATGGCTGCATCATCATGCTGAAGAAATAAGACCATTCATAAGGATAAAATGGGGATCAATTCTCTACAGACAGTTAAAGCTACCAAAACCTCATGTACAAAATAATATATAGATGACATTATTTCATATCATATTGTTGAGTACAACTATTCATAAAAATATACTCCATTTTTTTTTTCATCTCAGGATGTACTATACTGTATACAACTTACATCTCTTCAACATTATCTTTTGCTTTTAAGTTTGTTAGCAATCATAAATACAGTAGTGCAGTATATGTACCTATAACTCATTAGTTAAGAGTCATTGCAAAAAGACCAGGATTAAAATTAATATTAAACACATTAATTTGTCCTCTGCTACAACAGTTCTGTTAAAGATGATTCACCACAATTTTTTTTTTACAAATTGTTTCCTCCACTGCTAGGGTGTTAATACCCTTCTCAAGGTTTAAATTCTGTAAGTGTTTGATCAATAGGAATTGTCACAGCAATCTCATTTTGAGATACAGTATTAACAGTTCACTTAAAATAATGTGTAATGAACATGAAGGTGGGTGCACAAGATGCGATTGTAGTAGATTCCTATGTTTGTCTTAGCTTATTGTACATTCCCCATGCCGGAAAAAAATTTACATTTTATTTGTGGAATCTAGATAAAAAAATGGAGATGAAAGGGAAGAATAATGGCAAGTGTCAACAGTTTGTTCTGTGAGAGAACTGCTGCTCTGGGACAAGGCCTTTCACACATCAAAATACGTACTCCACAACTATCATCTAAACATAAGCAGGTTTATTACATACCTGATGAAACTCAAGTGTGACTTCATTCTTCCCTGTAGTACAGCCAGACACATGGCTTAGGGGCACTTCAAAGGCTGGAATAGAACTCACATCAAATGAGAGTACAGCCCCTTCAAATTTTGCTGCTCCATAGTTCCACCCTTTTACAGAAAACTCTTTCTCAGACATAGTCTTGCTGTATGTGTTCTTGAAAAACTTTTCCAACTTTGATTGTTCCTGGTAACATACACAAATATTATTAATAATAAAGACAGTAGATTAATATGGAATATAACATTTTCATTCTGTTACTCAGATGTCTGATAAACTATGGCATGCTAATTTCTCAAATTTTATATAAAAAAATTGAAGCTTACCATCCTAGCTTGCATCACAATACAGCAACATTAAAAAACAGCTCTCAATATTTACATGTACAGCACAGCAAATTAAAGATTTACACCTGGGAGGTGTTCCTAGAAAACGAGACATAAAGGGACTGACGTATACAGGATAAGTCCCCGCCCCCCCCATATCCTTAGTGTCATAACTGGGGGATGCATTTCCTGGCCCAATTTTTGCACACCTTAGCCTAACTTAAACCTCAAATAACTAAATATTAGACAAAAATTAAATCGATACAGAACACAAATAAACACATACCCGGTAATCTACAATTTAAAAAAAAATATTCTGCCCCACATTGCTGTGGCCAGTGGAGATATCCAGCACCTCTCTTGTAATAGTAAAAAGAGCACATAGCAAACCTTTATGAATGAAACAGCTTCGAAACGTTTAAGCAACTGGTTTCATCCAAACGGCACCCTCACTATAATTCAAAGCTGGTTCATTCATAAAGGTTTGCTACGTAGTATGTTTACAACTACTTTATAGTAATACTACAAGAGAGTTGAAGGATGTCTCCAATGGCCACAGCAATGTAGTGGAGAAAATTTTTCCCCAAGTGTACATGGGTACTTACCAAAATAAAACTGACATTGTGATACTTTGGCAGTTGTAATTTCTGTAAAGTAATATTGCATAGTACAGTACTTGCAGAACATTTTCCACCCATGGTTAAGGGTCTTTTGAAAGACTGGTGCATAAATAATTATGTAATACTATTTGATGCTCTCCATCTCAGGTGGATACAGTGGCTGGGAGCACGGAATTTCCATTTCAAATGTTTAACTGTTGGCAGTGGTGTCACAAAACATTGTTTCTGGTACATGGTTCAGGTTTTTATCACTCAATAGACCAAAAACTTTATACTGTACAGTATTGGACATCCATACACGACTACCGGTAATAAAAAAAAATTACCACATACCTAATTTATTAACGACACATCATTGAAAGACATAAATCGGAAGGTAGTAGGCAGCTACCAAAAAGGGAGGTACTACCACCTGGGAAGATATTGGAAGCTTAATGTGTTGTCTAATGGTAGACCCTGCTGCCATATGGCATCATGAAAATTATGACCAAGTCCTAGGTTGCTGATCTGACTTTCTGCCTTATTTACACACAATTTCAGGGTTTCAATCCGTTCCACAGAGTCATTCGTTAACCGAATCTATTATTTCAATGGGATATTGGGTAATTGGTTCCAATTCACAGAAAAAGTACATACAAAGTACTGTATACCAGTAATAGAATTAACAAAAAATTAAATATAAACTAAATACAGTACTGTACTGCACAGTACACTATAAAATAATAAATAAAAAAACAATAGATTACTGTATTTTAACTTACTTTAAGGTGTGTATGTCGTATTACCGGCAGCTTTGTTTACATATCAAACAGCTGATTGTAGAGGCAGTCGATGATGACATGCCATATTCTTTACAGAGTGCATTAGTTCTAATGCCTTCTTCATGTTTCATAATACTGTAATTTCTGCACTGTAGATTATCAATATGTTAACTAAATTTCAGAATGACCAATAATTTTAATAAAAAAAATGCAGAAATATTCAAGAGACCAACTTTCTTGATATTTACTTCACTGGAAACAAATGTAAACATAGAACCAATTACTGTATTGGCGGACTAGCTGATCAGCTGATGCACACAACAAAACGTGTTTGTCGTAAGGATTTCGTTAATCGAAGTTTTGTTCGTTAATCGAACTGAAAATCCTTATGGGAGCTAATTCGTTAACCGAAATTTTGTTAATCGAACCGTTCGTTAACCGAGGGACCATTGTATATTGTTTCTCACTTTTGATTTTTTTTTCATTTTTTGTATTTCTTTATGGTTCTTTATTATTATTAGTGTTGTTATTGTTATTACCTGTATTATCATTAATATTTCATTGTTCAATTTTATATTTTTGTATTTTTACTATGAATTATTATTATTACAGTACAGTATTGTACAATTAAATTTTCGCCCACCAAGCCCTGATGTGGGTCAGGTGACCTGTGCCTGGGTGCGAATTTTTTTCCTGAGGATGTCTGTCATTTTCAACAAGCGGCATCGCGAAGAAAGAGCAAAAAAATAAATGAATACTTAATTCTTATGTCACAAACTTATATTTTTTAAGCATTTTAACCAATACAACCCACCTCCAATTACCAACAATATTGATTGTTCAAAGTGGGCAGGGCATTGAAGTAAAGGGAAAATGTGGGGTAAACAATTATAAAGAACACTAAATAAACCTTTGAAACCCTTACCTAACATTTTCTAACTTGTAGAAAGGTTAAGAATTGCTTTTTAATTTATGGGTCCCTCCTCTTCTGAACATTGAAAACACTATACCGTATTAAACACTGAAAGCACGAATAAGTTAAGCTATTTATAGTTTGAGATTTTTATAAGTTAGAAAGGTTTTCAAAGGTTTGTTTGGTGTTCTTTTTAGAAATTTACCCCACTTTAAACAACCATGATTGTTGGTAATTGAGGGTCATAACTCCATAACGGGTCATTCGTGATGGAAATGGTCAGATTCGTTTGAAACAACACAAAACACACTAGGAAATCATATTTTTGTGAGTCCTAAACGAATTTTTGCTGAGCACTTTATTACAGCTTATAAAATCAGTGAATAAATTTAAAACACAAATCAGGTCTTTACTTCCACCAGCGATCTGCAGCTTAAGCATATGCAATGATACTGCAAGAATAAAAAATAAAGATTATTTTCTACAAAAAATGCTATGCAAGCTGCCCTTGAATGTCCAGCTGCAACTTTCTAAGAATATAATAATACAAGTGCATATATTAATTTATTGAGAAATGAATCATAATCAATTCTTAAGTACAATATTGTACTGTACTTACTGATTCTTTGAAGCCTCCAAAACGAAAAAGACTGCCATTTTCAGTAAAGATTCGTATGCCATAACTTCCAGAAAGTCTTTGCCAGTTGACCACCTCAATGTCAGAAGAATTCAGAGTTTCTACTTTGCCAGTCTTCACATTGCGAAAGGTTATGCCCTGGTCAGTCAGCTTTAAGCGAACTGGTACCTACAAAACAATGAAAAAATTAACGGGTTAGCATTTTTATAATCATTACACTAAATGTACTAAATCCTTACCTTCCAAATAAATTTGGGACCAATAAATAAGGGAGCTCTGCCCCCTGCCCCCCCCCCCCCGGAATAGAAGTCATTTGCGAAGGAAAAGTCATAGAAGAAAACTGCTTCAAAATTTTCTAAACTACTGATTCCAATAGTTAAATTCCTAAGATTCCCCAGATAACTGAAACTAAAATAATAGCTAAAACAATATATTTTTTCCGGGGGATAACCTTTTCTTTTGGAATACATAGTGGATATTTAGTCGTGACCGGCTAAGTTCCTACTAATGCTATTTTACAGTGAGTGCTAGGAAGTTTGGTCAGGTTCTATTAGGTTCTATAAATGTCGTCTTTTTTTTAATAACATGTGGAAAAATTAACAAAATCAAACAACAACTTCTGGTTTGGTATGTTTATAGCTACACAATGATTGACTCATGGCAAAATAAATACCAAATGCCGCCAGTCACGGTCACATATCGTTCTCGAGTTGTTTGCCGGTAATGGACGATTAGCCAACCAGAGCGCACTCATGGTAAAATAATGTTAGTTGGAACTTAGCTGGTCATGGCAAAATATCCACTGCCTTTGGAATAGGAGATTAACTTGTTTAATCACCTTAGTAGCTCCAGAATAACAGAATAGCACCCAAAAATATCGATCAAAATATAATAGAATCTATTTATTTAATTATACAAAATGAGATAAATGTTTTAAAGGGTCAGTATTATTTTACTTTCAGGCAAAGAGCGCCCAAAAGTTTTAAACTACTGAAACACTTAGATCTCCCTATTCTGAGCATTTTGAACCCCATATACACCAGGCACAAATGGATAATAGCTTAATTGATTTTACATACTTTTCAGTCTTTGTCTCTGTGAGGAGATGTTATCAGCATGAAATCGAGTTAAGTTATGGATCACGCATGCGCAATATCAACTGACGTTATCCAGTTGTGACCAATGGCGTACCGATATCATCAGGCAAATTTTTTTCGACCAATCACATTTGAGTTTTTCAAAGTAAGTAGCCTGGGTATGGATTTGAATTTCATTGACCAGTCTGACAATGGCCGTGGTGGAGGTTGGTTGTCATTCGTGCTCCTACAACTATTTTAAGTTTATTGCCAAGTTTTACGAGAAAGACGATCATTCTATCCACTTCTAACTAAGGTATTGTACTTTCGGAGGTCAATGTGGGAAAAATGTCACCAGGGATCTGAATATTGAGTCATATATGGTTAGATAGAGAAAAAAAAAATATTTATTCTATAACGCTTCCATTGGAAATGAGGCATAGTGAAGATATAACTTACCTTAAGTGAGGCTTTGCTAGTTTGTCTCTTATTACAGTACCTTTTATAGTGTTCTGCATGATACTGACACTCGGGATTTACATTTTGGACACTTTACAGATGATGCAAGAACACCATGAGCCCTAAAGATATCAATGGCTGGTGCATCATTCTCTAAAACACGGTGAATAACCCGCCAGTCAGCCAATGTACAGCCTTCACACATAGTATCATCTTGAAACTGAGTGGGAATCGAAAGTTACCTTCACTGGCGCTTGAGTATTACGTCACATAAATACTCACGCTGATTTGCGCGAAAGACTATGACGTAAAAAAAAACTACCATAATTGACTAAATAAAAAATTCCAATTCTCTCAAAAGCTATAAATTTCTGATGGAAACGTCATAGAAGAAATATTTTTTATTTTATTTTCTCTATCTAACCATATATGACTCAATATTCACATCCCTGGTGAAATTTTTCCCACAATGACCCTTTCGGACATGGCTTTCCCCTAAGTTTTAAACTACTGAGACATTTAAGTTAGGTTAGTTTAAGCTAGATATACCGGTGGTCTCGGGGTGGAGCCCCCAGCTAGGGGTTAAGTTGGGTATTTTTGCATTTGCGCACACAACTTTCCTACCCGAAATCTATTATCATATTCGAAAAATATGTCTAATTATCAGATAATTTTCTTCTATTACATTACTGTAGCAAACGTATAATAACGGCGACAGCGTATCAAAAATCTTTCTCTATTTTCTTCCATTAATCTTCCGCCATTATTGCCTTCCACACCTCCCACACTGTGTGTCTCCTTCATAAATCATCACGCGCATGCGTTCCCGTACACGTCACGCAGCGAATCAAAAGCGTTTCTTTTTTTGGGCACCAATGAAAATGATTTTTGGCTCAATCAAATTCAATTTTTATTTTGGGTCTCATAATTCGAAATTCAAATTCATTTCCGACCATGGAGGTCTGCGATGGGTGTCACATCAATTATATGGAGTTGATTGCGCGTTTTGGGGGAAAAAACGAACAAGCAATAATTTTTTTTAGCTCTCATGGTGTTCTCCCGACCTCAGTAAAGTGTCCTAAGTGCAAGCTGCCCGCCTATACCCCCCGTTAAGCGAGAATCGGCGTCAGCAACCTGTACTAATTTCAGAATCCAACGATGAACCAGAACCAGGCCAATAAGGTAGGAAATAAGTGATTCCATCATATGTTAACAGTTAGTTAGGTTAGGTTAAGTTAGGTCAGGTCAGGTTTATATTTTTCTAGTGTTTTTTTGTGTGTATTTTGTATTCGCTTAACCATAATTTTTGTCGGAAAACGCCCCACCAAAAAACCCCCGAAACTAAAAAACGGGCACTTTCCGTCAAAATACACTGGAAAAACATATTGGTCAACCACTAGCGACTCATGCCCGAAGGTAAAAATTGACCAAAGGGTCTTGAACACAATTCCATGCCTTGTTAACACACACCACCTGGCTCAGTGTATACCTCTTCTATCTACAAGATAACTTGAACGAATTCTAACTACTCGTTAAACAACATGCCTTGCTAACTTACCATTAAACCACGAGATTCTATGGTTACATCTGTGTATTCTAAAACTGGTACTTCTTCCTTCATCTTCGTCAGACACTAAGGACACGGACTCACACAATGCTCTCCGTCTCTCCTCGTTTACCCGGGAAGCTGTAGTGTTGTTCTGATGGCAACAACAACAACCCATTATTAACCCGGGAAAACTAAATAAACTCCATTTACATGAATCTTAATTTCTTTATAAATTACATGTATATTTTTTGCTAATTATTTATGACAGTAATATATTTTAAAAGTATTTTATTAAATGAAAATTTTTGAATGTCCTACTACTCCGAGGTGTATGTAAACAAAGGCGGTAAATTCAAAACGAAATGTGCTGTACACACAAGACTTTACGCGCGTGTTATGGAGAGAACGTCATCTTGTTTTACGATATTGTATTCATATAGCGGTCTGGTAGCCAGTGTATTGGGCCCGTTGTTGTGTGTCTGTTTCATTAATGACATGCCAAAAGCTATATAGTCCTCCATACAAATGTTTGTGGATGATGCCAAGATGCTTAGGGAAATTGAGAATCAAAGAGGTTTTTTTTTTTTTTTGCAGGGATTAGCCCACCAGGGCACAGGTCATTGACCCACGTCGGGGCTTGGGGGGCGAAAATGTAATAATAATAATAATAATAATAATAATAATAATAATAATAATAATAATAATAATAATAATAATAATAATAATAATAATAAATAATAATAAACCATAAAGAAATAAAAAAAAGAAAAAAAGATCAAGAGTGAGAAACAATATATGTATGTTGTGTTATCAATGGTAAGAGAAACAATTGAGACCCTGCAATTGTGTGTAAATGAGGCAGAAAGTCAGATTAGCAACCTGGGACTTGGTCACAATTTTTGTGATGCCATATGGCAGCAGGGTCTACCATTAGACAACACATTATGCTTCCAATATCTTCCCAGGCGGTAGTACCTCCCTGTTTGGTAGCTGCTTACTACCTACTACCATTGGCTACTACCTACTACCTACTACCATTTCCTACTACCATTGGCTACTACCTACTACCTACTACCATTGCCTACTACCTACTACCATTGCCTACTACCTACTACCATTGCATACTACCTACTACCCTAGTTATTGGCATGTCACTTATTAAACAAATAAACAACAACGGGCTCAATACACTGTCCTGTTGTACCCCGTTTATTACGGGTACACATGACGATTTCTTACCATTAATCACCACATACTGCTTGCGATCATGGGGAAAGCCTCCGATCCACGCTTGGACATTTCCCCGAATCCCGTACCCTTCCAGTTTAATTCTCAGCCTTTCATGGGGTACGCTGTTGAAAGCCTTGGCAGAATCTAGGTATATATTGTCGATATTACCACCCCGTTCCGGAATTTGGGTTCAAACAACAAGTACTTTGAGTAATTGTATTAAGCAGGAGCGTCCCGGCATAAAACCGTGTTGGCAGTCCTTTACAAGGTTGTTTCGTAATAGATGTTCCATCATGACATCTCCTGTAATGCTCTCAAATACGTTACACACTATACTGGTCAGGCTCACTGGTCTATAATTATTCGTGGAGTGATGATCGCCCTTCTTGAATATAGGACACACATAAGCCATTTTCCAATCATTGGGGACCGTTTGCTCAAACATAGTAGTAATCAGTATTGTGCTTGAGCAGTTGTTTCGCGTTTGTAATATACATTTTCAACTGCAATTGTGACAGGATTTAAAGATAACTTTCAGTAAAAAACAAAAATCTCATTAATTTAGTGGTACTGGGCATTCACTCTACAAAATGAATTAGTTGCCATACTCACAGCCAATAAATCTATTGAAACCACTGTCACTGACAGTTTTATCATCAATGATTCTCTATCCTCTCTACTTGCCCTTGACACCGTCAACTAAGTTCTCACGCGCTTGTCTCTGAAGCCAGACACAAATATGCGTACCCTGTTGACTGGGGTGTCAAGGTCAAACTGTTGTGGATCCCCTCTCACATAGGCCTCAAAGAACATGGCAGAGTTGATGCCCTCGCCAAATTCGCGTCTAACAAAGCCACTGTTGAATACAATCTGGGTCTGTCAAAACGAACCCTTAAAACTATAATTAGGAAGGAATTTACTGATAAGTTTGACGCAAGCAGACAAGTGCAAACAGGCACTAGTCAATCCATTGTTTACCATGATGAGATGTATCAAGTGAAACATGCATATGGAGCAAGTAACAAGATCACTAGATTACAAGATGTTGCAACCGCGAGACTAAGGTTAGGATATAAGTACTTCTGGCAGTATGTCCCTCAAGAAGAAGTGAACAAAACTAAATGTAAAGTGTGTGGCCAGACATATGGCCACACACTCGAACACAACGTCCTCGACTGTGTGAAGATAGAACCTTTCAGGGACAGGTCCAAGCACACTGTGCGTAAAATGGCATAACACTTTATCTCTAATGGCAAGATAGCCGACATATTAAGATTGTATCCACTTTTTTGCACTTAGTAGCTATATCAGTTCCCATGTATAGAACCAAACACACAATGTGCTTGAATACCTCTTACGCAAATGTGAATAACAAAGTGAGCGGCCAGACATACTGTACTGCCTCACACTCCTGTACTCATGCAGTTGCGAAAAAGTTATCCTCTATGTACAGAACTAAACAAAGAATTTATTTGAAATACTGTGTAACATTCAGTGCCTTAATATCCTGACCCTTTGTGAACTCTACTCTGTAATCCTTATGCGCTACCGCCCACAGGATGAGTATGGGGTGCACAATAAACTAGCCATTGTAAGTGTCAAAATTAAAATAAATCAAATTAAATTATGTTGCAATAACTGAGATGTCTAGCAATTTTCAGTTATGTAAAAAAAAAGCTGAGAAACGTAAGCAATTTACAGGAACCTCTAAACTTTTGGAGGACGTTGAGACGGATTCATTAATATTAGGCTTCGGTGTTTGAAGAGCGAGGAGCTGTTGGTGAAGAGGAAGGTTTAGGTAGTGAATGTGTAATAATGATGGCGCCAAGGGTGAACTGGTTCTAACTGCGTGATTCAGGGTATTATAGTTTAATTTCTTTCTTGTTTTCTTTGTCAAAGTGACTTGTGCTACTCGAGACAATGCGACTTCAACAATGATGTCACAACCAGGAGAAAAATAAGATATTCTCACCTCTCGTTTCGAAAGGTTAAACCTGCTTCCTCTGTTCCTGCGACCTTTCTTCTTTTTGTATTTAGTTTCTTTTTGATGATGCACCGACCGCTGCGTGACTGAAGAACAAATTAGTACCCACCACTGACCTCACATAACCCGCGGGGGCCGGATACTCAAAAGCATTGACAATGATTATATTGTATTTCTCAGTTAACTCTAAAAGTCAATCAAAGATGTTGTAAGTCTTCTCTGTAGCGATAATCAAAACAAAATACCCGCCATCTTGAGACGTCACATATTGTATCTGGAAGCCGTAATTTACAGGACCTTCGGAGCTCCTGTAACGGAATAAACCCCGAACTTTAGCAACATCTCTTGGGACTCGAGCTCGAACCGCAAACCGCACTTAAAACCGAGTCCCAAGCGTTATTTTTAATTTGGGCTGTGTTTTGTTGTCCAATTTCCCCAACGCAGACTCAGATCAGGACAATGCGGAGAAGTTGAACAAATTCTTTTCCTCGGTGTTCACAAGAGAGGATGCGAACAATCTTCCTGCTTTTGAGGAAAGACGATTTGACAGCGTTGACACACAATTTGTTCTAAGAAGAGGGTATAAGAATTAAATTGTCAAAGCTAAAGGATCATAAAAGCCCGGCCCTGGCATGGTGCATCCCAGAGTGCGAAGAGAGTTGTGCAACGAGCTTGCTGGGTCCCTTAAGATCCGGTTATGTAAATGCCTGGAGGAGCAAAAGGTCCCCAGTGAATGGAAAATGGCTTATGTAAGTCCTATATTCAAGCAGAGCAATCGTCACTCCACGAATAATTATAGACCAGTGAGCCTGGCCAGCATCGTGTGTAACGTACTAGAGAGCACAAGAAGAGTTGCCATGATGGAACATCTAGTACGAAACAACCTTGTAAAGGACTGCCAACATGGTTTTATGCTCCTGCTTGAGACAATTAATTACTCAAGGTGCTGGAAGTTTTCACTCTAATTCTGGAACTGGGTGGTAACATCTCGATTTTGCCAAGGCTTTTGACAGCGTACCCCATGAAAGGCGAGAATTAACCTGGAAGGGTACGGGATTCAGGGAAGTGTTCTAGCGTGGATCGGAGACTTTCTTCATGATCGCAAGCAAAGAGGAGACGCGGAAACTAAGTTCGGTCAACTCCTGTGGGAGAGAATGAAAATCCTACTTTGCTTAACTCTTTAGAAGGCAAAGCATCCCTTAGGTATTTTATTCTGGCTAACTCCAGATGATTTTATTCAACTGGAGGGTTAAAGAGAGAAACTACCTCCTCGAGCTTGTGTATATACGAGTGTTAATATCTTACGATAACAGTATGTAACTAAGCAAAATATTCTCTTTCATCAGCCCCTCTTTAAGTTTTTTGGGTAGATAAAAAGTCCTAATAAAAAAAATCTATTAAAAAAGAATCTGTAACATTTATTATTATATTTATTAGAAGCGGCCACTGCTCTTGGTTAGGCAGTATCGTTAGATTTTCATATTTCCATCCTCTGTCCTGGAAGCTTCATTTAATGGGAATATTAGGCCCTTTGGGAAAGGTGATGGCCCTATCCAATCTTACCTCGTGAAAAATGCAGGATAGCGCCTCGTTGCCTTCATCTGTTATGGCGCCAAACTATCCGCCGTGTCGTCTGCTGCCTACCATGCTCTCGCTCACGGGTGCAAGTCTTTGTTAAAACTGTAACCTTCCAATCAATTTAGAGTTGGATATAATTACAGGAGTTGATTTTATCATGTCATTTAGAATTAAACTATACCTCTATTTTTAAGAATTTCGAAAGAAAGATGATAAACGTACTAATTTGAAAGTCCACTTGCCCACTGTTTCGGACACTGGGTGTGGCTGCGCGCAAAGGAACTCCTCGATCAATATCCGCGTTGAACGTGTGTGTTGTGTTAGTTTGTGTGTGTGTGAGGGAGTACTTGAGCTTATTTCGGAATCTT